ACATAATTTTCAAAACAGTCACATAACCAAACAGTTACATAACCAAACATGAATATCCTTCCCCAAAATTGGCACATAACCCAAACATGGTTGCATTTCCCAAACATATACACATAAATTTGTAACCATTGGTGAATTGATTGATGTAAGTAACAATTATGTGTCACTTCAATACTAGCTATAATGTAATTTATTCCTCATATAATGTCAAGGATGGCGTGCATGCTAACCATCTGTGTGGACTGATTTTGTAGAGATCCTAGGTCAGAATGCTATCCCTAAAATCAAGTTGTACCGGTAAAAATAAAAATGTAGTGTCTCCTGATTTTAAACTACTTTTATTTGTAAAATATGAATTTCATATTACCAAATTACAAACTCCATCACTATAGTAAGATGTTTTTTAAGATCACTATATAAATGTAAGATCATCAATGACACACCAGCATAACTACTGTAAAACATGTCTAAATAACTACATACCATTTTAGCGAATTTGACTCAATGCATTAATTAACTGAATCTTAATTTAGCTAAAGTATCAATAACCTCACTGTGAAAATATGCTTTATTTTAAATTAGTGACATCTTGAATTAGCGAAATTACAGATTAGCTTAATTAGCTAAAAAGGACATGTTTTACACTAAGTTGCATCACAGAAAATCTCTGCATCTGTGGCACATTGGCTTAGAGGGCGCACTGCTGACTGACATACACATATTTCTATGAATGTAAATTTTCTGTACACAATATCATAGTCATTGTTCAATAAAAAAACTGTAAAATTGACTGTAAAGGATGTTTATTGTGAAGAATAGAATAGAATATAGTTTGTTATATATTATGTAAAATATCATTCCATTTCACAGCATTCCGTGCACATGTTAACACCATAAACTGAGTTAGTATAGATAGTCATCATATATCTGATTTGTAACTATTGTACTTTTCTCAATGATGCCCTCATAAAAAGAGTTTTTTTTCTGTAAACATGGTATGAATATAATATATCAACAGTTTGTTCCATGATCCAACCCTAATTATGCAAATGAACAAACATAAATGGTCAAAATACAACATTTTTGAAGGGCCTGAATTGCTGCTTCTCATGGTTTTGATTTTCAGTAAACTGTTTTATTTTCGTCAATATAAATTTTTGTGATTTGATAGTTTGAGGATAATTGACGATATGTTGTGATGCGAAGTTCATTTCTACAAAATGTTGGTTATCCCTAACTGAGAAAATGCGTCTCTGGTGAATATAAAGTGGTTTACAGTTTATACAAATATTTACTCTTTCCATTCACTGCCATTAGTCTGTTATTTGCCAAATATTTCATGTCTTTTATATTGACATTCTTCACTTTAAACACTTTCAAGGAAGCATAAATGGCGTTTATGGAAATTTATAAAATATTTATAAAATATTTTCATTATAAGACCCTTGCACTTTATTTAAATCTGAAAATACAGTAAACAGCAAATGTTATGAATTTATATATATATATCAAAATAGTTGTTATATATACGCTAGTTGATAATTCCCATACAATCATTGGTCAAATTACTGGCATGCATTTAAAAGATGTTCTATATGGACGGTATGCATTCACTAGCCGTCATTTGGAATTTATAAAACAATAGTTTTTATAAAAAAGAACATTCATGAAATACAGTGTAATCAATTTGCTATACCAGCCAGTCAGCAACTGATTTGAAAATGTATTTATTGCTGATGGATGTTTAAATAAATGTAATTTACTTGAATCTCATTCATTTGTGAGGGGTGGAGTGATAAAGACCTGGGGGTAACATGGAGGGTCAATTTGGTACCCCTCTCAAAGGTTCCGTGGAAAAATGGTTGTCATAGAAATCTCGTATTTAGATTCAAGAGTACAAGTTATGATATGATTTCCTTTCTAAATGCTTTCATGACATCAGAATAGTTGTTTTTAATATATAATAATCAATTCTTTGAGTTTTTTAAGATACCATAGGTCTGATGCTAGTTACCTATGACTTTGTAGACTTGTATACATGTATGTTATTGTAAATAGATCACTGTTGTGCAATGATGGACATCTCTCTGTATGCTGTTTTATTCAGTGTCAAATATGTGATGCAAATAAATAAAATTCTAAAGTATTGACTATTATAATACAGCATTGTTTTGTGTAATAGTATGTATAATAAGATTATCTGATAGTTTGACATGCAATTCTGGAAATTCTGTGAATGTGTATCCGTCAGAATTTGTTCATTCACCAACATGATAAAATCTGACAGACTGACTAAGGAAAAAAAACTTTTATAAAATAACGAAAGCCACTGGTAGACGCAAACTGCAGTTGTGTTACCTTGCCTAATCATCGTTAGATGAAAGAAAAGATGTATGAGGGGAAATGTCTGTCATCTTTGTTCCTCCGGCATGCACTGAAACCTGTTTTTAGCTCTCCTCTCATCATTGTTCATTTCGTGGCAATATCTTTATTTTTTATTTCTAGTGAATATTTTTGTCATTTTTGGTAAAAAAATGCTATCTTTAACTTCTTTTTAAAAACTACCAACTTAATTGCTTTGATACTTGATCTGTAGGTAGCTTGGATGAAACTCTGTCAGATTTGTTTATTTCATGACAATATTTTCAATTCTCTATTTTTGGTGAATATTTTTGGTTTTAAAAAATGGTATTTTCAACCTTTTAAAAATCGCTACTCCAATTGCGTTGCCTTGGATGAAATGCCAAAAGGCTGGTCAGTACTTTTCCATCCATGTTTTTGCTTATATATATTGCTATACACCTGTGCAAATGTAATTTAAGTCTCTAAATATAAACATAACCATTTCACTATTCCTTAGAAATTTCATAAATACAATACAATATAAACAGTAATATTAAACAATAATTTAGATTGTTACTTTTTTGAGAGACACTTTTTGTAAACGATGGTGTTCACGATGAACACTATTTGCTTGTTCAATTAACTGGTAACTTGTGTCGTGTGCACGCTCATTCAACAATTGAAATACGAGCATGTCGACAGGTGGGATGTTCGTTAAAGAAGAAACAACAGTTTGGACCGGTTGTCTTTTAGATTTACTGAGAAAGATGGAAACCAGAAGTTATCCTAAAAAAAATTGAAGGTATGGTGGAATTGTTACTCCATTATAAAACGTGTGGAAAATGTAATTGATAGAGCCAATATCGGTAGCTGTGTACTGCATAGTCATTTACAGTGGTCTTCAATCATTTAATTATGTGCGGGATGGTAGGGTACTTGATTTAACTCAAATCCATGCATTTACAGGACCAGAGAATTGCATACTGCATAAACTCCTTGCCGACATCTCTCATAGTCATGATCTGAGTTGCCAAATACAATTATAACTCTGTTAGGCAGAATTCGACAGGAAAATGCAGTTCAATTCGTGTTACAGGTCTGTAGTCGTCGTTTGTTTCCACATACTTTATAACAATAATATTTTACGTCACAAATTTCTGATTTAAATGTCGCATTGTTCGTAACAATATTTTTTTTTCAGATTGAAGAGAAACAATAAAGGATTGTTAAGAATGGACGAGATAAGTTTGCTAACATTGGGAACTAATTTTGTCTTGTTTGTGTATTGTTGGATTAATGTCTTCGTCCCATGTGCCAGACGAGGCCTGGTTTGATAAATCATGGAGGTAACACTGCTCCGTGAGATGGAATGGATGTAGTGCAGATTTGGGGATTGGGGAAGAATGGGACTGGAATAAAGTAAATTTATATCTAGTGAGCAACTTGAAGTTTATCTGAAAAAAATATTTTGTTATGTTTTTCCCAGGAATTGTGCTTGATCGCGAAACACATTATTTGAAATATTTTACATATTAACATTCATGTGCAGATAATGTGTGTTGATATTATTACCAAATTATCAGCGGAGACGCTGATACAAGCCCTTTTCAATATTTGTATTGTATTTTGCGTGAAAGCACTTTTCAAAGCGTTGCGATGAAAATAAACTTTTTCAATACGTGTTTTTGGTGGAACACTTTATATAATGTGTGTCTAGTGAAACACTTTTAAAAGTGTTGTGATAATGAACATTTTTATTT